AAAAAGGCTACAGGGATATCTTGGTATTCTGCATGGTACGTTAAATTGAAATTTGGACAATAACGGGACACAGTCAATGTAGTTATTTATAATCATATGTCGGGTTCTAGTTGAAAATGCTTAATTTTTTCATGATAGGTTTCGACATTTCTTGGAATACCAAAACAGTAAGTTAAACTACGAATTACTTTTCTTCTGAACTTTTTCGATCCTCTCTATGCAAGTTTTATATGTGGGGCACCATACTGTGCTACAATACTCAAGATTGCTTCTTACAAAACTGTTATAAAGCTTAATGACAGTGGCTGGTCTTTTAAAATCCTTTGTGTTTCTCAATATTAAGCCAAGCGACCTATTTGCATCCACCACTATCTTATCAATATGATCCGCAGACTTCAGTTGACCATCCATTATGACACCAAGATTTCAAATAGTGATCACTTCTTCCAACTTTGTGCCTGCTATTGTGTATATCGATTCAAATTTATTACGTTTTCTGCTGTACTTAATATGATAGCATTTTGTAGTATTTAGAAAACATTTTATTATTGTTACACAATTCGTAAAGATTATTAATGTCTTGCTGGAGGTGTTGCACATCTGAAGCCGTTGAAACAGTTTTCGTAATTTTAAGATCGTCAGCAAAAAGATATACATCACTATAGTTAATCACACGTGTTGACAACAATGTTAAAAAATAACGGTCCCAAAATCGAGCTTTGGGGAACTCCCAATAATGCTTCAAATAGCCCAGATTGCTTGTCAACAATTATCCCAGAAAAGCGATTTGAAAGGTAAGATTTACACCACTTCAGTAGGTTATCTGTAATTACAAATAAATATAATTTATTAATCAGGATGCTATGATTTACTTTGTCAAAAGCTTTCGAAAAATCTGTATAGATGGCGTCAACTTGTAAAAGTTAGTAAAGTAAAGTTACAGCCTATATACGTCCCACTGCTGATCACAGGCCTCCCCTCATTTTAAGAGGGTTTTTTAAGGGCAAGGATGTGTCCGCCGCGCTGCCCTAATGCGTGTTGGCGAACCACATGTCTTCGAAATATTTTTTTTCTCTTATTCCTCAGACATGCAGGTTTCCTCACGATGTTTTCCCTCACCGCCGAGCACGTGGTAAATCAGCACTTAAAATTGCAATTAACAAGTTCATTGATGCCGGCGGGGATCGAACCCGGGTTACTCGCGTTCTGGTATATTTACAGCGAACATTAACCATTTGAGCTACCACGGCTCTTGTAATTTCAACTTGTAAGCCTTGATCTATATAGAATAGAGAGATCTTGTATAGAAATACTATGTCAAACATTTTACGCCTATTGCAAAGACAAAGTAACTTGTACTTTTTAATAAATCGGTGTATGTTTGGTGGTGTGAATAGGTGTGAATTTTAGCGATAATTTAGGGTTTTAATAAACAATTTTTGAACTCTTTCTATTCTCCTAATATGAACTTCATAACAAGGGCTCCAAACAGTGCTGCAAAAATCTGACAAAAGAGAAGTATAAATTTTTTTAGAGTTTCGAGACGTTTAAAGGGTTTACTTATTCGTAATATAAAACCTAGATTTCTAAAAGCCGAAGCTAATATGTGCTCAATATGTGGAATAAATGATAAGGTCGAATCCATAATTATGCCTTTGTTCCTGATTGTGGTTACTCTATTCACGGCCTTCTGATTTATGTGGTAGTCGTAAGTAAAGGGATTTTTTTTTGCAAGTATACGATATTATGTAGCATTTATCGCTGTTTAGGAGCAGATGGTTGGACTCACAGTATGCATGTAATCGGTGTAGGTCTTCTTGGAGTTTGTGGCAGTCACTAATTGATCTGATGATTAGATACAACTTAGTGTCATCAGCATACAAGAGATGGTGACTATGTTTCAGGACATTGCCAATGTCATTTATGTAGACTGAAAACAGTAAAGGTCCAATATGAGACCCTTGAGGCACACCCGAAAGCAATGGAAGAAATCGTGAGGAATAACCTTTTACAAAGACTGTTTGTCTCCTATTACATATATAGGATTGGATCCATCTAAGTAGGCTGCCATTAAAATTTAACATATTGGTGTCAACGCTACGGCACTTAAAGGAACCGTGTTGTTCCTGGGAAATGTGATTACGAAACGAGTACGACATTTGAGCGGTTACTATCTTTTTCAGGATTTTGCCAAAGATACAAAGTTTCGATATAGTTCTGTATTCGTCTATACATTCACGTCTCTTATTTTTTGTTGGAATGGGTGTTACTAAAGACTCTTTCCATAAACTGGGAAATGTCCCAGTTTGGACAGAGAAACGAAATATGATTGTAATGGGTGTTGCGTGTTATTTGGCACATTCGGATATGAGAAGATGATGGATCCCATCGGGTCCTGCACCTTTATGAATATTTACTTGTTTCAGTTCTTTAATAACATTATTGTGGTAGATGTTAATAGAATGTATGTCTACAGCTGAACTGCCTGAGTAAGAAATTGTATGATCAGAACTTTGACAGGTAGAAGGGATGAAAACTGAATGAAAATAATCATTAAAAGCCTCGCATATCTCACGGCCAGTGGAAATAATTTTACCTTTATATATCATTTTTTCGGGAATGCAACTAGAAGCTTTTTTTGATTTTACGAAAGACCAAAATAACTTTGGCAGGCTTTGATATTATCCTCAGATTGTTCAATAAATTTTTTATAACATTCTGCCTCCATCCTCTTAAACCTCTTCCGAAGACAAGAGAAGGTCTGGTAGTCTCGTAAGTTGTTATTAAGTTTCCATTTCTTATAATATTTAAGCTTTTCATTTTCTGGTTTTATGAGACAAGAAGTAAACCACGGGGGGCATTTATTTGTGCTACAAAGATTTTGAGTAGGTACGTATGTATTCGTCAAATTGTTTAAAATTTTATAAAAATAACTCGTCGTTGAATCAATATCCGTCATGGTATTGAAAACTTCCTCCCAGTTAACAGTGTTAAGTCCTGTTTTTATCGAGCCAAAATCAGCTTTATGAAAGTTTTTTTTCCTATTTGTTGTACGAGTATGTTCACCTGGGACAATCATCCGACTAGGTAAGTCCAACTTGGAACGAGGGGTCAATTCACGGAATCAACTCGGCTGGGAAGCGTTCGAGAGATTACGAAACACCTTCTTTTCAGGTATACCTCAAAACTAGATTGCACAACCAGTGCGTGCTGCCAGTGCCAACCTATTGATCTGAGACGTGATCCTTCACCGCTAGCTGTGAGAGGAAGTTTAAGGACGCTTAGCAAGCTATATAGAGGGCTATATTCGGGGCTTATCTGCATGACAAACTTAGAAATAAGGATATTCGCAGTAGAACCTGAGTGATTAACCTAGCCCTACGGGTTAGTAAGCTGAAGTGTCAATGGGCCGAATATGGCTCGAAGAACCGACAACCGATGGGAAAGAAAGGTTCTCGAGTGGCAGCCTCGTATCAGCAGGCTAAGTGTAGAGCGTCCCCCCACTAGATGGAGTGACAACCTGGTAAGACAAGAATTCGATGGACTCAGTTGGTTCGAGACCGTGCTTTGTGGCGTTCCTTGGCTCCCCCAAGGGTGAGTTTGAAAATAAAAAATTTGAAAGCAATAAAATGATTATTGTAAAAAAAAATTATGGTGAAAGTCTGTGCAATAAAAAATTATAATAAGTTCTTTAGAATTTAGACTGTAGCTACAGTGGCACCACCCTTATTTAACGCTTTCCTACGGACACTTTTTTATACAGAGTCTGTACTCCTTACCTCTACACTCCATAACCCGAGATTTGCCGTTAGTATAGTACTCTTATTAAGTTATTAGTTTGTAATAGGTGTAATAGTTTCTGGTAATGGTGGTTAATACAGCACATAGCGCCACATTATAGCGCGCTATCTCGTCATAACACATAGAGCGCGTTATGTAAGTAGTCGCCATGGCGCTCTTGCGCCATGGCGCTGTGGCGCTAATAACTATTTATATCTAGTGGCAATTAGTTCTAGCAGCAGCGCTGTTGGGAGAGGACGTGTGACGAAAATTTGATCTCGTAGCGCGCTATTTATCGCGCGCGACGTTGTTTAGTTAGTGTATAATGTATATTTGTAAATGATCAAAGGACACAGTTGTGATAAAAGAAGCCTAACCAATGTTTTTAAATGTAAATGTAATGTAATGTAAAAATATAGATACAAAAATGTATATGTAAATAATTGATTTTTATAAATACAATAAATAATCTTTTAAATACACCTTTATTTGATTTATAATTTATATTAAGATTAAAATAATGTTTACATCAATTATAATAAGAAATAATTCATTTTATTTCGATGCTAAAAATAAAATTAATTCTATTTTAAATAGTACATAAATTAAAAATACTTTTAGGATTATAGAAATTAGTCAGCCTGAAAAGTATGAAAACGCGTGCATTGGTTTTTCTTTACCGCTTTATTTTATTTTAGTCTAAAATGCGACTTATTACGAAATAATGTTCTTATAAAGTACGCGATCTATCCACGGAACGACATGTAATGTAACGTGCTAAGAGATATAAAGTACTGTAAAACTTAACGCGCTTACCGGCCTCCTACACGCTTTCTTATAAATAGCGCGCTATAACATAGCGTATTTAATAGCGCGCTAGAAATTTATAGTTTATAGTTTGTAGCGTGCTATTGATTTATAGTCGTTTTGAACAACTAGTCTCTAGTATATATTCAATAATCTATGAGTATAGTCACAATTTGTGAGTACCACAGAGTACCTTTGTGACTCACAAAGGTACTCTGTGGTAATAGTGTTCTGCTTCTGTCATTCTGTGGTTTGTAGTTTGTGGGTTTGTTGCCGCTAGCTTGCATGGATATTTATATATGCTTGCCGCCAATTTCGACTTAACTTGAATCTTGTTCTTGTACAATACTGTTTGCTTTTTTATTTTCATTATCAGGAATTTGTTTTGTTCTATTGTTAAGTTATATGTTGTAATGGATACTTCTAAAAATGAACAGAATGGTAGCAAATATGAATGTTTTGATAATAGTTTGCAACTTTACATGCAATCCGTACAAAGGTCTGTAGAATTTAATAGTTTTGTGAATTTTTAACTTTATATTTATAATCAGGTATTTATGGTTTATTTTAGTTCATCAAACTTAACATCGATTAACATCCTTAACGATTTATGGCAAACAAAAAAAGATATTTTCAACAGGGAGTCTCAGCTTAAAATTTTAAATACAGCGAAAGCTCTCACCAAAAATTCCAATACTCTAAACATTAAAACATGGAAAAGTTCATTGAGGTATGTATTGTGGTTTATTATAATAATATTTGACTGAGGTGCAGTGAAATTTTGAATCCTACACATATCAGAGCTACAATTTTTTACGAACAAAATTTTCTAAGTATGAGTTGAGAAACTATGATTTAGCCAATGATTTCAAAAGGAAGGATAGGCCCATCTAAATATTTTGCTCATAACTTTTTCATACAAGAAAAAGTAGTGCATCTGTCATAATACAAACCTCATATCAAATCACGACGTAACCAGGGTCGGATTTCGTAGTATAATTATCCTTATTGTACATTTTTTTATTATATTATTTCATAGTTTGTAGTACACAGTATTGTAATAATACTAAGTGAAAATACCATAATTTTACCTAAAGGTCAACTTGTTAATACAAGTCGACCTTTAGGTAAAGTTATGTATCAGGTAAAATAATAATTTATTGGGTCCTTTTACATTCTAATATTAACCCTACGATATCGAGAATTTCTGTATTGTACATGAGTACCGCTTTTTTTAATTAAAATTAGAATTAGCTCTGGTCTGGTAGAATTATTTCTGGTCTATCGATGCTCAATCAATCCTTTTCTTTTGTACTCTTTTCGTTTTACACTTATTGAATATAAAATATATTGGGTACCAATATTCAAAATTTTACTTACACTAAATTCTTTAGACAAAAATTCAACAGAAATAAAAATAAAACCGTCATAAAACGAAACATATAAATAAACTAGACGCGTGACATAAATAGACTAGACGCGTGACGCCGTAATCCCGGCACATTGGAAAAAAGAAACATGAAACATCAAACATGATATAATTTTTTTAAATAGTATAATTTTATTTGCCACATTCAATATTTTTGAGGGTCTGAATCCAACCCTGGCCTAATCTTGGTAATGTAACTAAACTAACTGCAAAATAAAACGTTAAAATGTGTTTATATAATAATTTAATTGTAACAAAATTAATATAAGGTTATTTACCGATGATACAATATCCCATGTTTTTTTTATCTTTGTATCGTAATTTTTGCATTATTTTACCACGCAACTAGACATATTTGTGACAGACAAATTTGTCCTGCGCGCGAACCACTGTCGACCTATTCGCGTTGGCCCTAAACTGTAATTTTAGGGCCAACTCATTAGTCCGTTTTAGATGTTCGGTCAGCCTGGTCCTTACGCTAGTAATATATAAGTTAATGGATTTAGGAAATTATAAATTATAACCATTGAGTTATACATAGAAATTATTATCGCTTACCATGAACATTATTACTGAATGATAGCATAATAATAAGTCTAGTAATAATAAATCAAGTAATAAATATCATAATAATAAATCGAGTTTGACAGGAGGCCTTTTTACAGCATTATCAAACTATTTGATCCGAACGTTGTTAAAACAATACAATTATTTTATTTAATTTAATAAGGCTTATCAACTAAATACATAAAAGAAACTTATAATATCACAATTTTTGGAAAAATATGTTATACAAATGCATTTAAATTAAAAGTATGTAATAAAAAATATGATTTTTTTTATTTTACAATAAATTGTCTGATATTGCTTTTTTAATTAAACAATTTTATCAGCATGAGTTTATGCTTTTCTATGATGGGCCAAGAACATCTGGCCCTGGCCCATCATGCCTATGTTCTTTTTAACTATAATATTATAAAATATAACATATCTAGATTTGATTTTGTGTTATAAATTACCATCAACTTCGTGACTTTTTACTAAATTATATTAAAATAATTGGATAATCTAGGTACATTTTTGTGATGTTAATTTATTTTGAATATATATATGTTGCAGCCAACTAGCTTAATTGGCTTTTTAATTAATAGCTTAGCCATTTTACTAAATGGTGCCATTTAACTAGTGGCCTGAATGATATTTAGCCTATGCATCTAATACATACAATACAATCATTGCACCTATCTTGTTTTTTATTTTGTAGAATTAGGTGACAAATGAGCGCAAAGCCACCTGATGGTAAGTGGATAAAAATCAAAATGCAGATGCATTGTCATCCCTGAGGTCTAAGGTGGAATGCCTCGTTTCCAGTAAAAAGGGTATCCAGTTCGCTATGCTCACCATTAAAAACAGCAGCATTAAGCTGCTATTTTACATTGGTATTCTGTGAGATTGTGGTCTTTCCCTGGTCAAGTTGACCCATTTGTGCTACAAACATAATATAGCTGAATCTACATATAAAACTATTTAACCTCTCAAACGGCAAGCGTCAAGCATCAGCATCAAATTTGACTGCTTGGATCCATAAACACTTATGTCTAGAGACTACTTTTATGTGAAGAAGTTCGGCATTATAGAATCAATATGAAATTTTGTATCCTCTAGTGGATAAAAATGTCAGGTAGTCTATGGATATTTATTTATAATCTACATTCATTTTGTACGCCATTTTCATGTGAATGTTATTGTTTTGAATTTCGAATTTTTTTAGTGTTTTATTAGTGTTAGTATAGAGTTTTGTTATAAAATTGTAATGAAAGTTTTTGTGTGGATATAATTTATCTTTTTATGTAAAAAAATTTGAGTAATATATATTGAAATAATTGTGATTTTTACGCTACTGACATCCGCTTGGAATGTTTTTTTTTTGTTATAAAATACAATAAAATCTTTTTGTAATGAAATAAAACCTGACTTTTGTTTAGACCTCAGAATAGAGAATTTTGTATAGATTTTATAATGCCAAACTGCTCCATAAAATAGTAGTTTCTAAATATAAGTTTTAATGGTTTTAAGTGCTGTGGGTTTGGTCGACTGCGTGGGATTTTTATGGGGATTGAAGGGTTAAAATGAAAACTGTAGCATTATATTTTTCACTATGTTAGAGATAACCTGCATTGTGGAATCCCTGTTCTTTGTCCTATATGAACCAGTTTTTAAATCAAATTGCAGTAAAATAAATGACCCTGTTTCTCTGGTTGAGAAATCAATGACATTGTGCAAGAAGTGTTCTATGGCAAACAACTATAATGGCTACAAAAAGTTTATTGCCAATAAATGCAATTGTGATACATGTCTTTTTAAAATCAGTAGCAACAAGAGAGAGTCAAGCATTGATAGTAAATCTACAGTTAACAATACATACAGCAATAGTTCCAGCCAAGATAAGTTTGTTGCAGAACAGAAAGGTCTTTTCAAGCCAAAATCTAAATTAAAACAGTTTCCCAGAATATCAGTACAACCACAAATGAGTGTTTTTTTAAATAACATAGAAACAAACTCAAGAAGTGATGTAAATACAAATTATAAATTTGAATTTGGTACAAACTTAGACAGAGAAAATATATCTCATCAAACCAATTTAGATAGAGAAGAGGAAGAAAATAAGGCTCATAAAAGCAATGTGGCCAAAATTACCTTCAAGACAGCGAAAGAAGCACTCTTGGCTTCTAATCCTGCTGCCAAAAGAACTTTAGGTGCATCGAGGAAAGCTCAGGGGAAATTCATTCCACCAATGCTTGGTGCTCAGTAAGTTGATACTGGCATATTTTAAAATTTTATGATAGTTAACTAGAATAAGAGATTTCATGCAGTCTCATTATTTTCATAGATCTGTATTGCCCACAAATAATTGTTCTGGGTCTGGAGGTTTATTCTTGTGCAATTTATGTTTGTCAACTGCCTCCATAATACAGGTGAAAATCCTACAGAAAACATTTTTCAAAAAATATAAATAAATAAAATATAGTTATTCTTTTTGTACCACATGAAACTTGAAAGATTACACACATCACAATGAATTGCTGAGTGCACAGCTAATATCAAGACACTGTTAATGGTGCTCTGCACCCTCTCAGAAATGAAAGTGTCTTTAGTCGTGGGATGTATGAGTATGTAGGCTTTTTATTTTATGTGAATATTACATTATTAAATTTCGAATAAATAATAGAATGCTGCAACAAAAGTGCCCCAATTTTGAACCTAGTATATTTCATTTATCATCGTCATTTTCAACCTGCAAAATTCCACGAGGCATCCTCAGGTGACGTAGACTCTACGGCGGTTGACCGCTAAGAGTTAGCGGTCAGCCGCTGTAGGTGGAGGCGAAACACGTGTCGTATTATCATCGATGGTGTGTCTTTCCTGGAATATTGGTGTTGGGAGTAGTGGTGCCGGGAGCAATGGTGCGGGGATTGATGCACGCAATTGAGGGAGTGCGGGAGGTGCTCTTCAATCCAGGTAAGACACATCATTGTATTTAGTTAGCGGAAGGTTGCAAATTAATTAATATCTTTATTAAGTTATGAGTCCATCTATTGGAAGCTATGATAACATATAGAGTGATGGGTTCTTAATCCAACCTTAAACATAATAGCAAAATTCAGTTACTACTGTACCAGACTTAGCAGACCATACATAATAACTTTTTTTTCAACGGATAGGGTGACAAAAGATCACACAGTCCACCTGATGGTAAGTGGTTGCTGTGGCTCATAGACATCTACTCTGTGTATTCAACTATATGTATTCAAGGATATCTGCATTTTGATTCATAATCGAGGATTACAAATTGAAATGCAGATGTGTTGTCACCCGTGAGCACTAAGATCAAATGCCTCGTTTCCAGTAAAAGGGGTCTGGTTCTCTACACTCACCATACAAAACACAGCAGCATCAAACTGCTATTCTGTGTACCACATATAAAAACTTACTACTAACTTACTTTTTTTAGGGAAAAACAAGAAAGAAGTGAAACTATTGTAACTGATGATCGACTTAAACATATTGATGCGAAAATGATAGAATTAATTGAAAGTGAAATTATAGATAAGGGAACTCCAGTAGGTGAGTTCTGTGTTTCTACTACTGCTTTTTTTCTTTTAATGGTTTCTCTTGAAAGAATTCTTCCATTATCCTGTTAATCATGGAAGCTTAAACAAATGATAATAATATGCTTAAAAGACAAACACTTTAAAGTAGACAAAACATTTTATATCCATCATTTATCACAAAACGAGTGTAATATAATACAATGTGTAAATATCACACTGTATGATCCGATCGGGGTACTTCGGTCATCATCATCATCTTTACGGCCTTTCACAAGTCCACTGCTGAACATAGGCCTCCCCCAAGGTATGCCGGTCCGGCACAAAGCACGGTCCTGAGCCACCTGCATCCATCAACTTCGTCTGTATTACCAGGTCGTCACTACATCTAGTAGGGGGTCGCCCTACAGTTCGCCTACCATTACGAGGCTGCCCCTCTTCCCCAACGGTTGTCGGTTCTTCGAGCCATATGGCCGGCCCATTGCCACTTCAGCTTACTAATCCGTTAAGTTATGTCGGTCACTCTCGTTCTACTGCGGATATCCTCATTTCTAAGTTTATCACGCGGAGAAACCCCGAGCATAGCGCTCTCTATAGCTCGCAGTCGCTGAGCGACTTTGAGCGTCCTCATACGGCCAGCAGTGAACAACCACGTCTCAGTTCCATAGATCACTGGCAACACACACTAGTTGTATAGTCTCGTTTTCAGGTTTTGAGGTATAGCTGCCGAGAAGATATGTCGTAATTTCCCGAACAGTGCCCGGCCAGTTGAATCCGTCGAGTACCTATTTCTTCGGTTCCACAGGCCGTTTCTGATAAATGTGGACTGGTCCGTACAGATGACGTGCTCAATGAAACCAGGCACACGTTGTTGCTGGTCTAATAGCCAACGGTAGACCAATTCGTCGCGAGGGCGGTCGTGATTGCCTGGTACTAAAGCTTGCACTTTGTGCATTTTGTATGGTCGTATTCGGTTATGCTTTAACACTTTGTGAACTGTACGGTTACAAACGCTTGTTCCATCCCGACGCCTTAACAATTTAGTGATACTTCGTGTACCCAAGTTCGGAATCTAGCGAACGACATCTAAAATGCGCTCTTCAGGGTGAACAGTCACTTGACTTCCACCTCCTGCCGCTACCGGAGCAATGGGCCGATTTTCCAACACCCGCTGAAACGCTGCTGTTATCTGACGAGAGTCAGCTGGGTGTCGAGCGGTCGGAAATTTTTCTCGGTAAATTCGTCATGCACGCGAAGCATTCCCGCGAGCTTCTCCAAGGCACATGTTGCCGTATTCACGAGCGTAGTGCTGTACGTAAACGTACGCGTTAGGCTACGTTAGGCGCGTTACTTAAGCAATTTCAATTACCAGGATTAATAATCAAATCGACAATTATTTATTTCTACGATTTAAAACAATATGTGAGTCAAAAGTTGATAATTGAATAAATAGTTGTTTTAATAGGAAGTACCCGGTTGACCGAGCTTTGCTCGGTATTTTTCGCTCGGTTTTTTTTTAATTCGTGTGTTTTGGAAATTATATTTAGATACAAATTACATACTGATGAAATACGAACAATATTTATTGATCTTAGCGACATAATAGAAAAAACTGAACTGGTTATTTGAATAAAAAATCATGAGTGCAATTAGTTTAATTTAAATTTTCGTGTTTTTAAAAAATACTAAAAAAAGGGCTCGAAAAAAATAGATTTTCTCAAAAAAGAAAGGAACTTGAAAAAAATAATTAAAAAAAGTCGGTCGGTCGGTCTGGGCTCTAACCGGGGTTTTACGATTCTGCGACCGCTCATTATACCAATTAAGCTATTTATAATCATTAACAATCTGTTAAAATTTACCTTCTTATTCTAACGATATTGTAGCAGTTTTTCATTGCCTAAAAACACGGACAAAAAGACATTTTCTAAAAATAAATCCTAGCTAGATCGATTTATTATCCCCGAAACTCCCTGAACACTAAATTTTATGAAAATCGTTGGAGCCATTTCCGAGATCTCGATTATATATATATATATATATATATATATATATATATGTATATATATATATACATACATATCAAGAATTGCTCGTTTAATAGTATAGGATTAGTTGTCAATAAAGAGATTTGTAAATCAAAAGAGTTTTAAAGAACTAACTAGTTACATGATGTTATGTTTCGCATAAATTGCTGTTATTAAATTGTAGTATTAATAATTATACACTGTTGATTATTATAATTTATAACAATTAAAAAATAATGCAAAGTTTAGGCTTCGTCAACAGAAGATGCCGCCACACTGATCGGCGGTGTGCGCTCTGCACCTGCCGTGAATAATCTTCTATCTCTATTGACCTGTTAACACAGTATTCACTATTGTAAATAATGGACTTTGATTGGGAACCATACCCAATGATGAGATGATCGTATAGCAAGTGAAGCTTTAAAAAGCACACTTAATTTTAATAATTAAAACCATAAATTATTCTTATTGCATTTGTAAATATGTAAAGTTACAGATTGTAGTTGTACTTTCAATTAGGTATATTATTGTTTCATTCTCACGTGACGGTAATGCTCTGTGATAGACACAAAGTCTTTGAGAATCTGTATGGAGAGTAAGGTAAGGAGCTTAGGACCATTGCTCCGTGACAGGCACGAAGTCTCTTTATTTGACGGGAAAATAGGGAACTGGGTTCTGAGCGTTCATGGACGCCGTATCCCAGCAGGATAACATGAGAGTATAAATTGTCGCCTCCACGGCTATAATTTATTTTTATTTTTAAAGGATTACTTCATGTTTATATTTACCTCCACGGCTTTTGAATGTGAATGAAGTAAAATTGTTTAGTTGGGTTGGTGGTAGTGTTACTGCTCATTCCACAACATGACAACAGCTATAAAATAAATTTGGTCATTGGTCACACGCCAATAACATCTTTTACATTATATTTGGTCATTATACGACTCAACACGTCAATAACATCTTTTTTTTTGTAATGTGCTACTACTATGAAATAGGCATGAATATGATAAACCTAATGAAATAAGTATCTTACGAACTACCTACTTACAGTATTAGTGATTACAAACATGTCGGTACATAGCATACGACGCGCGGTGAAGTGGGGGCGAAATTAGAATTTGAGCTGACGTACTATATCCCCTTAAAACGAAGATTACCCGATGTACCTTAGCCCGTTCTTTATCAAACCAGAGTTTGTCTTTCACTGACGCCTCGGTCGTCCTTTGTTGCACATGACATTGCAATGCATCGTAATTAATGGATGTGGTATAAAAATTGACCAAATTATGTAACTCGGGGGATACACAGTTCGATCATACGATACGATACGAGGTATCGATTACCGTATCGTATTCGAGAAGTATAAAAAGAGTAGTGCTTATCGTTCTATGTATTTATCGTTTTTTTTTAGACGCATTTCTAATTTGTCATTGATAACGAGAGATTTAGCGTAACCTTGAGTAAAGACGAAAGAGTACTTATTAAGAAGAGCAAGTAGTTGATTTATCTCAAAGTCATCAATTAAATCAGGATTAAAATTTTCTAAAATAGGACTATGTGATCGTATATGGATGACATGAGGTTTATGAGATTAGGGTTGCGCTATTTCGGGTAATAATTACACTTAGACCCGTTTCATGTAGTAAGTTCGCAGCAATTAAAACGCCTGAAGTTATTTCAAAGTCGGGTAGTACATGAAACAAAATCTCTATAGCAATATTATTAATCACGCATAATAGCTGTTAATGTGCTGGTAGACAGGGAACGGACCTATTCTACATAAATAGTTCACAACTTGATTCTTATGCCCTGGAAATTAATTCGCAATGGATTCACGCATAATGGAACACTCGGCGCCGCTATCGAAAACAGTATTTATAAGCAAATTACCTACTCGAACACGCACAATGTTTGAGATAGAATTGCGGGTGCTATCACTCACTTAATTTATATTAGAAGTTATTTGTTTTTCGCGGCGAAAACACGACTCGAATGTGTGGCCAGGATTTGAACAAAATAAACAAAATTTACTATCACTAGTTGTAGCTAAAGGCGTCGACCGATTTTTATCGGATGAAAGGACATTAAAATTACTTTTATTACGGAAATTATCGGAAGTATGACCGATCTTTTCGCAAATACTACAAGAAGAACTTCTGTTATCAAAAGTGGTGGAGCCACGTGTTTAAGGCTGCCGAAAATCTAGTTCCCCGGTCAAACCTCAAACCTATTACGCGAGATATTAACTAAAGTGGACTGTATATGCGATTGCTTCTATGCTTATGTGAAGCGACTACTATAGCATGCGGTACAATGCACTCGCTCTTCCCTAAACTAAACTATTACTTGTCGAATCGATGAAAGGAATCCTGCTTGACTAGGAAAAAAAAACACAAATTGGAGCGGGTTAAATTATTAGCAAGCAGGTATAATTAAGGAGTATTGACTCACCGGGGTTTCTTCTTCCTGTCGATCACTATGGCGGCGACTTCCGGAACCTCCTCTGGACAGACACTTCTGGGGCCCCAGTGGTGCGTCAGGAGAGAAGCGTTGGTTCAACGACGACTGCGGCGGGAGAAGAGAGCGCGCGTCTTTTTTTTTTTTTTTTTTTTGCGCCCGAAGCAATTAAAGGGCTACCCTGTACGTAGGGAGGCGGAAAATGCATTACGCATACCACGATAGCCGGTCTATCGTGGTTATGGGGGACTCACTGTCCTACCGGGGACCCTAAGTGATACCCCTAAAAACCGCCTTTAGGGACAGGCAACCGGCTGATTAAGCTCTATTGTGCCTTATCATGAGCGACCCTCTTTTGGGAAAAGAGGGCGCAGGCGGCTAAGTGCCGCTGAGGGAGTGCCTACGAAGGCAAATTAATGTCAGATATTACAATAATTTTATTTAATTAGAGTTGGCCTGAGCTGCCAGGAGACAGTTCAGGTCGTTTGAAAGTTTATTAGGCGGGTCCGAGAGAGAGTTTCTCGGCCTGCGG